GGATTCAAAAGATTAAAATAATCGTTGGTGGTCCAAGCCCGAGACTAGACACTAGCACTGGACTAGTACTGTCGAGACTTAACCATATTTGACAATCAGATCAATTCATTCAACTGTAATGTTCATAACTATAATAATAACTCTATTCTTATGTTTAAGTCTCGACAGTACTAGTCCAGTGCTAGTGTCTAGTCTCGGGCTTGGATCACCAACGATTATTTTAATCTTTTGAATCCAGAATGCAGATCTAAATATAGATTATATGCTGAGAAAAACTAGGTGCATCCAAGCAGTTTAGTTCGTTCATAAGAAAATATTCAGAAAACTATTATTTTTCTATGAGGATTAATTGAATAAGGATCAATGCTGTTATACAAACTTTTATCAATAATCAGTTAGTACCAAACCCGAGTCCAAGTCATGGAGCATGCAAAGCAAGCCCGATAATTTTTCTAGATCATTCTGGCAATCGTTTTCTTTTCTCGTACAACAGATCAATCTTATTATAACAGAAACAGTTACATAGATAAACTTCTATTGCAGATTCCATTCAATTTTCTAAACCATCTTTCTTTCTTTTTACTTCTTTATGTCAGCGTCCAAACTCTGATTTACTCCAAACTGAGATTGGCCTAGGCCAATTAGGAATTGGACATGAAAGTGAGTCAGAATAGAAGACGAAGAAGAAAGGACAGCAGTGAATGAACATGATACTGTATACATTCAAATCATTTATCATTTTTTGAAATACCCCTCGCAAAGTACTGGATTTTCAATCGATCTATTTTGAGAAACGCATAAGTTCTTATCTAAGAGACCTGATGTTCATTTTTCAAATTTCGAAAGAGGAGGTATCTGGGGTGCCAACTCAGTAATCTTGAGAATAGTAATAATAATAATAATCTAATCTAAACTACTATCTGGTACAAAAAGTATGCAGGCGATTATATATAATAATAAACAACGTATCGTCAGCTATAACTGTCATCTCAATGTGACTCTAGTCGATTGTGTTCAATACTAGGCATCATCATCCGATCAATAAAAAACGGACATTTTTCTGTCAAGTCTAAATATAAGTTAGTCGATTTCAAAATAAATTCTTATTAAAATTATAAACTTTTATTTCTATATATTATCATTAAAGCATAAATAAATAAATAATGTGTCGTATAGTAAGTATTGTAGTTGCCATCCTCGCATGTTATAAGTTGGTTATCTCAGTCAAATTCAGATATACGTTTAATTCGCCTTTCATAATCAGCAACAAAAACTTATGAATAAAATGGTTTATCTCTCAAACACATCTGATGAAACAAAATATTTTTCTATGTTCTAAGATGGTGATAGAAACGAAAATCTTGCAGGCAACATGAAAGTCAAAATTTTAAAAGACAATATATATGCTTTTTTCTTGAACATACAGCAGTACGCAAAATGGATTTAGTGGTAGCCTGTTTTTTTCTAAGAAAACTAGGAAAAAGATGTTCAGGAAACGTTTATGTACTACTCATTCTACAGAATTCGGTTTTGTTTCATTTAGGATATTCCATCTATTCATGAAATAAAATATCGATTACATCTTGGTGTTATAATTGCAGTTTTTGTGATTATACCAGTTTCCATACCATTCATTTTATTTTGGGCTCATTTCATTGCTCTTGAATCTGAATGGAAACGAGAAGGATTGAGAATATTAAACTATCTCTGCATTCTGTTCCTAACTGGCTATAATATTTGGGGTAATTATTATGTGACGGTGTGTCTAAATGTTTCTCTCAAAACGCTATATGATACTTTTTACCTCACGGTAAAACCTCGCGAACGAAGGGCGCTTGAATGAAGAAAGTGGAAGTAAATCGTTAGATAGATTCTAAAAGTTTAAAATGCTATTCTGAAAAGACAGAAAATTAATTAGAGTTCCATTCTACTATAGTCAGAGAATGCTATAATGTATACATTATACATTATGCATTATACTTGATAGGAATCCCGTATCTATTCAATTGAGAAATGAAGACTTACTAATCAATATCACTTGATTGTAAATTCCACGCTAATGCTAAGTTCCCAATTACTTTTCGTCAAAACCACATAATGAAGAAGCAAAACAAATCGGGCAAAGACGAGCAACTAGCGGTTAGGTTCTAAAACTCGTCTACTATAAAAGTACGAAGATGATCGTGCTCACTTTGGATAAAATTGTTTTTAATCAGTTTATAGAATATAGTTTAGTTTTATCTGTGAGTAAAATATTGAAAATTAAATTCTTAACTGTGGTTTAAATGTAAAATAACAGTAAAAAGTAACATCAAGGGATGATTTCCAGACAAACATGCATTCCCGGTTGTTTTTCTGTTAGTTAGAGGCATTTGATGGTAGAGGTGTTATAAATCGAAACTAGCCAGTCTGAATCGTCTGCGGAGAAACATATGCCTGTGGTATAATAAGCTTTAATTAAAAATTATTTTAGGTCGTAAGACAAACTGGAAAATTACAAAATATGGTCAATTAGTCTCAGATATTTGTAACTGGGATAATTTGGGAACATTTGCGTCCACATTTTTATTGACCACGAGCACAATTGTATCATCAACAATTATTGTTGCCAATGCACAGGAACCCCATAGAACCCGAGCAGCTTTAAGTTCAGCCGTCATTGAATGGCTCCGGTTTGCCGTCATGAGTATCTACAGTGGTGGTATAGTCCTACGTTGACTTGCACAAACCGGAGTTGATTGGTACAATAAAACTGTGGAAAACAGAACAGCGTATGTTAATTTCTAAATCATTCTTTTAAACTATTTATCTGACTTTTTACTTTCGGTGTTTTCTCCTACACTCACAGTTTGTACACAGAATTCCAACAAAATTTATCACCGCAAAGAAGTGCGTCACTATTAAGACAAGATGATAGTGAAGGGTTGGAATTAGTTACAATGTCAAGACAATCAATAGTGAATCTGGATAATCAAGTAAGGTTCTACAGTCGTACTGTCCTCTGCCGATGCTAGCTAGTGTATTTGAGATTCCGCTGGAGATGGCATGCTATATGTCAACAACCATAGTGTTCACAATAGAGAGCATTTTTCGAGTTACGGCAAAGGAAAGAAAAGAACATCAAACAAGTAACTGTCGTAAAACAAGAGAAGCAACCTGATTATCTTTGAATCGTCTGTTTTCACAGCACTACAACTACAGCACGTAAATGAATCAGATAACTAAAACTTGTTGATAGAAATATACCAGTACACACTCGACAAACATGTGTGTCAAATTATACTCTGATACTCTTTGATCAAGGTATAAAGATTTTAAAAATTAATAAGTTATTTTACTTTTATAAATTCGCTGGTGATGTCTTGAATATAACCAAACTCATTCTAAAAAATCTCTTACTGTGGATTCAATTATTGTTCCTTTATGTTCATTAAACCATTGATGAGTATGACCATATAAAATCTTGGTTCTCTTCTATTGAGGTTGAAGCAGTATAATCAGTTACAGATTGTCGAGCTAGCGATTTATAGGATGCTTCTTCTTTTTTCAATTTCTCTGACGGACTAACAATATCTGTTAACATCCCACAAAGCCCACGACGATTTGCCATTTACAGTAAAAACAAAGACAAAACCTTTCAATGTTTTTCAATAATAACAAAAGAATGGAATGTTTGCTCGACCCTCCCGTAGTTTTTTAATTAATACTTAAAAATGAAATTGTGCATACTTATCTTTCTAAAAACTTTCTGTGATAAAATTAATATCATTCCTCAAAATATAGAACTGGTGAGAGTGTGCTCGATAAATCCTATCCTGATTCAACACTAGCTCTAACTACCCTTTCGCCAATATTTCTCTTATCAAACTGTCAATCGTGATCTTGAAAACTACAATGAACAATGAATTCATCGGCAGATACAAATTCATGTGTTCACATAATCAAAATTAAATATACCAAACAAATGATTGATAGCCGTGATCGTATACATTTAAACACAAAAGGTACCGAGCAGCTTAATCGATCTATTGACGACCATTTGATACTTATATTTAATGGAATTGGCGTACGAACTGACATCCAGGTTCTTTCTTTTACATTTTCACACGATCCGTGCCCTTCTAATGCTTCTCTAGATTGTACCCTGCATACTCCCTCCAATAATGCTCACTGCCTGACTCAGCAGACTACTCAATGGGAAAAATACCAGAGAAGAAGGGAAAGGAATAAGCAAAAAAACACTGACGTCGAAGTTTAATAGAAACCGCATCACCTTTAGAAAGCCATTTTAACTTAGAATAGGATTTACGAATTTTATCGATTGCTGCGTCTACTGTTGGTTTAAACGACATTTTATCT